AGACAGTCCCTTGTGCAGTGGTTCTCAACCTTTTCCGGCTCGCGACCCCAAATTGGCTAACCAAAATTTTCGCGACCCCACAGAAGGATATCCGCGACCCCACGCGACCCCACGCCGACCCCCCCCCCCCCCTCCCCCGAAAAAATCAGATATTTTATTTGAAACGAGAGTCATGGTTTTGGGGGATTGTTTATTTATTTCCAGTGACTTCCTTGTGTGCGCCGCCACACGCAGGTCATTTTGTACGTCGAGTCTATTTCTGTGTTTGTTCTTGATATGTCAAGTCAGGAAATGTCAACTCCAAGGTTGAGAACCGCTGGTATAGACCCTTTCAACATTATCCAATTGAATCCAGTTGAAGAACAACAGACCGGGAACAGTTGCTTTTAATCACCCAAACGTGCCTGAAACATGTGCGTAAACGTCTAATTTTGATATTGTTTACGTTTTATGCAAGTTTTTAAAACATTTTGGTTGATAAAGGCATCTGTTTCCTGCATGTTGTTCTCCACCTTGTTTTTTCTTCACTTCGATAATCTTGAAAGGGTATATTGGAATCAAATATGCTCTTAGCTTAAAGAGGATTGGATTGGAAATGGAAATGGCAGAAATATTGGCCCTCGAAAAGTGAATTGTAGTATCTGATTTTACCCTAATTCCCCTTTGCGCCTTTACAACTTGGTTGCTTGGCCCCTGATCTCTTCTGAAATAAACATTGTTTCTAAACTTTTTAAATTTTTAAGAAGGAATCCAAACCTTCAATTTCATTTTAAATTTGATGTAAATGAATCTTTTTGAAGCGCTTTACTAGATGGTTCCCGCTGTGTATATTTGAAGAAGAAATAAGGAAATAGTCACCGGAAATAGTTCCGTAATTTTGGTAAAAACTAGTGGAAATGAACCTTCATAGTTACGATGGGCTTACTCGAGGACAGTTATTTTAAAATGAACTATTAAATAGGAAAAATATGGGGACTTTTCATACTGGTTCCGGTCTTGATTTCCTTACTTCTTCTCAAAATGCGCAGAGCGGGAACCTTCTACTGTTTTCACTTCTTATTGAGTGACTTTTAGCAAAGTTCTGCCTTCCGAAATGAAATGTTAACAGGGCTATTGAATATGTAATGTGTTTTACCAGTTACTTTAAGAAAGAAAACGATCAAATTTAGGAAGACTACCGGAACTCAGGGTCAGATAGGTACTTTCAGGAGAAGAAGATGAGATGTATCAGATACAGGTAAAGCATTCCGGTAAAGCTAAAATGCAAAAGAATGTTGGGAAGAAGGAAACTAAAATCGTCCTGCATTAACCTGGTGACCTCCGTTTCTTGTTCACAGCAGCATTTTTCTGCATTTCAGCTTTATCGAAATGCTTGTCATTAAACTGAAAGAATATAATGTATAGCAACAAAAGTTAAAGGCATTTCAAAGGACAATTTTGCATTCAGAGAGGATGTGTTCTTAAGCACATCTTTAGTAAATACAAATTTGTACCTGAAAAAATACAATTTCTACTTAGCCCAAGTACAGTACTGGTTTTGTGTCTAGTTTAGATACAAATTTGCATCTACTTGACATATGCTTAAAAACATATCCTCGCTTGATACAAAATTGTACTCTCCCATCTAGAATGCTGTACCATATAAGCAGTAAGCTAAGAAATATATGTAGCACTGGTGAATATTTTCATATAGCATTATTTTCTTTTTCTGTTTGACAGAAATGACCAATTATAAACTCCCTTGCAATTTGAAATTTGAATCTGATTAATGACAACTGTACATTCTACTAAAGGACGAAAAATTAATATTGTCTCTTATAGGACGCTAATTTGTTCATTGTTTGGTTCGACATTACACCTGCTTAAAATGTGCACAACAATGCATTATTCTATGGAATATATAAGGCGTTCCACGTTTTATGTGATTTTTAAAGGTAGTTTCAATCTCGATTTCCTCAATAGGGTATTTCATTAGAGCGCTGCCCGGAACTACCCACTTAAAATCTGAAAAGACTGTTATTGTCCCTACAAAGACAAGTTTTTGTACACATCTCAACCGGATGCAGATTAGAATCTGGTGAGGAATTTGCATCTTAATGAAGGACAAATAAATAATTGTCCAGAACAAGGTTGTTAATTCGTCACTTTCTGTATTCAAATCTGCATCGCCGGTTGACATTTGCACTAAACCGGATCTTTCTGAGGACACAGTACGGATTCAGAGACCTGTGGTGCAGGGTGTGGAGCGACTCGGGAAATACGGGAATTATACGGGAATTAAATTTGCCCGGGAAAAGTTCGGGAAAAGTCCGGGAATTTTGCAATCTACTCGGGAAATCTCTAAAAATTTCATCAGGAATGAAATGGAAACTGCATCAAAAAGGTACACTAAGTTACCATTATCCGGGTCAAAACTACTCTCTTGGTCATAAAATACCGAAAAAAAATTCTCGCTCGCTTCGCTCGCACTTTTTTTTATGACGGGTACCTTCCGTTATGATCTCAAAGCGATAGCGGTAGGCCGAAAGACGCCTATTGAAATGGGTCCGGTAGGGGCATGATTTCAAGTGGGCACCAGAGCATACCCTAAGTGAAAAAGAAATGGTGTCAAAAGTGTCTACCAACAGATCTTAATCCCTCTAAAAACATCTCTTTATATCATTAACATATATTTATAAAACAAGCAGGCCCGCCCTTCCGCCAAACGAAGTTGCCAGCTTCGCTTCGCTGCGCCGGCAACTCCGTTCGGCAGGGGCCGGGCCTGCTTGGCCTGCCGGCGGCGATGGTCGGGCCTGCGGCCCGACCATTTCTGTCACGCGATTTGCTGTAGAACATAATCAAATGATGAACGGGCCTTCGGCCCGCAAAGCCCGTCGTCCTTAAAATTTGCCCCGTAGACACGAGAAAGGGATGTAACGGTGAAACACCGCGACTACAACCCACCCTTCTGCTTAGAAAACGTTTTTTGGTGGGGGGAGGGAGTTTCTTACCTCTTTTGCGGTGGCCTTCTTTTACATTTAATTGTTCACTACAGCAATTTTTAACTTCTTTTCGTCAAACAAGACCCTCTAGCGCCTAAACGGTTAGAGATAGAGCCAAACGGACGAAATTTCCGCCCAAAGGGCTCTACTTTTGAAAGTTACCCCTTAGGTGACCATCAAATATTTTCTAAAATTAATATGTTTATTTTTTGGACCACTTTCGTGATAGAAACTCCCTCTAGCGCCTAAACGGTGAGAGATAGAGCAAAACGGACAAAATTTTCGCCCGTAGGGCTCTACTTTGACGAGTTACCCCTTAGGAGCTCATAAAAAAAATATTTTTTTCTGACTTTTTTGACCTACCCCTTTTCTTCGATACCCCCTTTCAGCCCCTTAGGGTTGGTTGCCAGGATTTGCCGTAGGCGTTTCGTTTTCTAGGAGTGAACCTTGAGATACCCTGAAAATTTGAAGTCTCTAGCACATCTCCTTCTAGTGGAACAGACAGACAGACAGACAGACAGACACACAGACACACAGACACGAGGTCGTTTGCATAAGCCCGCTGGATAGCTTTTTCAAAGCAGAAGGGCGGGCTAAAAATCGCTCGCTTTCGCTCGCGATTTTCTATGGGGAATGCCTCTGTTTTGCTCGGCCATGCTCCTGTCAGCCAGAGTATTTAGGCATTTGTTAATTTTTACGTCTCATTCGATAGAAAAAATTTTCATCTGAAAGGGTTAAAAATACTCGAGAATTTCGTCAATTTTGGCTCGGGAAACGGGAAAAGTTCGGGAATTTTATTTTCGGTCGGCGCTTGACACCCTGTGCGGCCAACAAATGATCGCTACCCCTGCTACTACCGCCTCGGAATACGACGTCTGAAAAGAAAGCATTCCGGTAAAGCTGAAACCGGTAAAGCTGAAATGCAGAAGAATGCGGGGAAGAAGAAAACGGACATCGTCATGCTTTAGCATGGTGACATTTTTCTTGTTCCCTGCATTCTTCTGCATCTAAGCTTTACCGGAATGTTTTGTGTGAATACTCTTGTTTGTTTTCAGCAAATCTTTTGTGTATTGTGTTTTCTAGCGCCAAAAGGATTAACCCCACCTGTCCCTTTTTTTCGCCAGGTGTAAAAATGCCTTCCAAGCTGGAACTGCCCCGCGTGCAGGATGGGTGCTGCTGCTGCTCCCTAGAGTCCTGCTCCTACGTGCAAGGCTACTTCGTGCTCGTAAGTTGAAGCAAATCCACATGCTGTTACCTTCTTAAATGTTGACATGGTGATTCACTTTTACACGGTGAATGCAGTCGAATAATTTTTGGTATAGGGAAGTAACGTTTGTAGGGGGCAGCAGCACTTCAAAACCGGTTTTGGTGTTCGAGCTTGAATATAAGTTCTTCCCTAATCTTTACGTCTGTTGGGTAAGGGGTCCAGTGAAGGCCAGTTTCATAGCGCACGCTCTCACATTTATCTCCTGGCTCTATCCTTTTCTATAGAAGTAGGATGAATGTTGTCTGGGCTGTAGGTCCTAAACTAATGACACTAAATCTGAAGAGCCCTCGGAAGAGCCTTTTTTGAACACCCAAAAATGTGTTCTCAATTCAAGTATTGCTCTTAAAATGTTGAGCCCCATTTCTTGTTTTAAGTTCTATTTGTTCCTTGAAACAGGAAATGGGGCTCAACATTTGAAGAGCAATTACGGTGTAGAGAGATACAGTCGGGACACTGGGCCGCTCCGGGCCTACCTCCTGAGGTCCCATTTTTGGATCCATTATTAGTTACCCAGTACGCCGTCCGCCGCACTGCTCGGCAACGTGTACCGGGCGTTGCGTAGCGTAGCAGCAGCAGCACCGGCGCCCACCCGTGCGTGCGAGAGACAGGTAGTCACTGTGCGAGAGAGAGGCACCGCACAGTGGGAGACTTGGCCGCCAAATTGCGACAAAAGTCAAAAATCTAAACTGTAGAATCAACGGATTTTTCTGTTTGATAAGTCACCATTCCCCTTCACTTTCACTTCACTGTGATCGCCTGTGTTTCGGTTAGGATGTGTTTAAGGGGGCAGACCTGTGAAATACAAGGGTTTGGGGAAAAATTCATTAAAAAAAAACGAGGCGACTCAGAGGGTTCGTACTGCCAGTATTTATTAAGTAAAGATGGCCCTACAATTTGGCCACTGAGCGGTACCGGCCGCTCCACAAACATGGCCAGCATGGCCTTGAACTGGAGCGCATGCAGGCCTTTGTGGTGTGCACGATTGTGCCTGAACCGTTGGGTCTGCAACATCGAAAAAAATTGCTAGATTCTTTTAAAACATGTATCTAAGATCTGACAGGAGGGTTTTTTGAAATTCCACTCCGAAATACTTGAAAAAAAATCCCAAAAAATGAGTACAAAAAAATGGGTTAAAATTTGGGTACTTTTTCCCTGGTTTGGGTACTTTGCAATTGAGTTAAAAAAAATCGCCCTTGTCAGATCCTGGGCACATAAGTAGACAACATTCGGGCCAAATATTAAGTCGATAGCTCCAAAACTACGGCCTGGAGGTTGCACACCGTTTGCAAAAAGTCATTCCGAGAAAAACGAGTTTAAAGTTTTCAGTACCTATGTATAGTGACGAACCAAAACCAAGGGCAACTTACTGAACTGGTCCTAAAAGATTCCGGGGCTCTAGAGGACTCCTTCCTCGTCGTGAATTCTGTCCTGAGCGGCCAGGCTAGCCCTAGCGGTCTAGCCACCCGGCCACCCGCAGCACGTTTTGGGCTCTCCTGAGCGCAATTTTTCGAATTTCAACATCCGCTTTGCGGCATTAGAAAGAGGAAAGATCAAATAATTTTTTGAGAGATAAAAAAAAAAGCGAATTTTTTGATGATTTTCACAGGTCTGCCCCCTTAAACCGACCCTTGCGCTTGCCTCCGCCTCACTCGCCCCGTCAGTCGCTTTGGCAAAATCCTTCGGAATTGAGAAAAACACAGTCTATAAGAACTGGAAGTGACATCAGGGGGGCCACGCAACCTGGAAGTCAGGGTAGGCAGGGGAAAAACATTGGTCAGGGAAAAGTCAGGGAAATTGAACGTTGGTCGGGGAAAATGACTGAACCTTGCCCGAAATTGTTATTTTTAAACTTTCGATGGCATTTTGGGGAGGCAAAAAGTTCCACACTTAAAATACCTTTTAAAAGTCAGGGAATTTGCGTAAGAAGTCAGGGAAAGGTCAGGGAAAAGTCAGGGAATTTGATAGCTCCAATTGCGTGGCCACCCTGGACATCTCTTGGTATGTAAGAGTTGGGCAACAATTGAAGTCTCACTAATCATGTCAAAGACTTCAGAATAGGAATAAATCATAACTCAAAAGTTCAGATTTGGAGGTTAGGTGTTATCGTATTTTCATGTTGAGTTAAAATTTGGGTTTTCGCCGAGTTCCACTCGGTTCCACTCTAACTCTTGCATCAAATGGCAGTTACGACACTAATAAACGTATCCCGCTTGAACAAGTGCTACAAGCTGCCACCTTGGCGATGCTCAGCATCCAAAAATGGCTTGTTTAGGTGGAAGTGCCCGGCTGGCCCTACCAATAAATTGCCACAACGTGTAATGTGTTTGTGTTTGATCACGTGATCATACTTTTACCTGTGGCTCTACGGCATTCATAGAAACAGGGCAATTATAGAAACTTTTGGGGTCGTGGGGTGGGGAGGGTGGACTAATAGGGTACCCCGCTGCGTTCTTTTACTACCTAGGGGTTTTTATTATAGGTATTATGTCGATTCTTGACCGGCCGAAAGGGGCTGAAAAGTGCCTCCGCGGCGAACGGCCGAACGTCTCTCGTAAGAGAGCTCGCATTTTAGATTCGTCATTTCTCAAAATTTTGCTTTGAAACTAAAAAAAAACAACTCTATTATGGGTTCATTAAAACGCAAAATGCAACATTTTGGGTATCCCTTACAAAAATAATCAGTATACGTGTATAGCTGTATGTGTTACCATTTCTTCGCTGAAAGTGGCGTCTAAATTACACCGAGCCCGAGCGCAATACTCGTTCTCTACATAAAACCCCCTAGGTAGTAAAAGACTGCGTGGTGGGGGCGGTGGGCAGGCGGGGAGGCTCCCCTACCACCCACCCACCGCTCCTCCGCGCGCTCGCCCCGACCACTGTCTCTGTATCCGCTTCTGTTCTTCTTAGTTCCGCTCCGCGCTCTAGAGGGATACCCTATTTAGGCATCAAAATAGTACTGAATATCTCAGGAGGGGTCTCAGAGTACAGGGTGTCGAGCGATTTGGGAAATACGGGAATTATACGGGAATTCAATTGGCCCGGGAAAAGTTCGTGGAAAGCCCGGGAATTTTGCAATCTACTCGGGAAAACTCTAAAAATTTCAAAGTGCCGTGTCTTTTTCAGGAATGAGATGCAAAATGCACCAAAAAGGTACTTTAAGTTGCCATTTTCCTGCTCATAAACCACTCTCTTTGTCATAGAATACCGAAAAAGAATTTCGCTCGCTTCGCTCGCACGTTTTCATGGCGGTCACCTTCCGTAATGATCTCAAAGCGATAGCGGAAGGCCGAAAGACGCCCATTGAAATGGGTCGGGTGTCTGGTAGGTGTATGATCTCAAGTAGGCACCAGAGCAACCCCGGCTGACGATACCAGATGTGAAAAAGAAACGGTGTCGAAAGGGTCTATCAACAGAGCTTAATCCCTCTAAAACAGCTCTTTACATCAAAAACATATCAAAAAAATTCTCGCTCGCTTCGCTCGCGATATTCTATGGGGAATACCTCTGTTTTGCTCGGCTTCTGTCAACCAGAGTATTTAGGCACTTGTTAAATTTTACCTCTCATTCGATAGGAACATTTTTCATCTGAAAGTGTTAAAATACTCGGGAATTTCGTCAATTTTTGCTCGGGAAATACGGGAAAAGTTCGGGAATTTTATTTTCGGTCGGCGCTCGACACCCTGGAGTAGCAGGCGAAAGCGCGGGTCGCACGGGTTGGACCTCGCACTCGCATTCACGCTCGCATTCACGCTCGCCGCACTCTCCGTCTCTCTCACCCAGGAAATGGTATGCTATAACCAAGAAAATTTCTTTTAAAACAAAATACAGGGTAATTTTTGACCTTGGTTTTAGGTTTTTTCGTTATTTTCAAGAAAATTAAGTTGCTTTAAGGAAATGTTTACTTTATTCTAATAAGGCAGTATGCTTAAAGTAAAAGACAATTTTCCTTGTATTTTTTTATCAGATGATACCCCAGTATCACTGCTTGTACAACACCTACTCTAATAGATATTAAGCTAATATGAAGAACATATAAGCTCTTATGATGGTGTAAATATAAAGAGATTCAGCACCCCGGGGAGGTCAGTGGTCCCTATAAAGTGGTTTATGGGCCCCCACCTGTTGCACAGCCTATTGGACTAATTACCTGTAATTGCCTTATTTAATTACCTATTGATAATTAGAGCACTATTGACGTCTATCTATTCGAGTCCCCGGAAGGTCCGTGGTCCCTAAAAAGTGGTTCATGGGCCCTCACCTGTTGCAGAACCTGTTGCACTAATTACCGTAATAATTACTGTAATTACCTGTAATTAGCGTATACAATCTAAAAACTGAGCTGGTCATTTTTTTTTAATTCTTAAGAAGGGTGGGATGTAGTCACGGCCCCACAGGGAAAATAGACGACTAATAGACGTCTTTAAGATGTCTACATATAGAACGAAGATAGTCTAATAGACGTCTAGCAAAGACGTCTAATAGATGATCTAAGTGCACACGTTCGTTCCTAAATTTAGACGTCAATCTTAAATACATGAGTAGATGGCCCACTTTTTAACGTTAAAATATTTTCAAATTTTTATCGTTTACTTTGCTTTTACCTTCGTAGTTTCCATTCTTCTGCCTTCCCTTACATCCCTTTCATTGTCAGGAGTTACATTACCTTTACCTGGAGTCGAACCCACGACCTGCGTCTTGGAATCCCGGTGCCCTAACCACATCCACTAGACCACGGGACGCTCGTTGGGAGGGGAGCGCTATCCGCGGGTATCTATCATCTGAGATTCCAAGCGGCTTTCTTGAGGGGTAAAAATTACTTAGGCTTTTTTCAAATAAAGCCTTAGTTCACCACGTCCATGTTGTCTTCAACATATTTCAATGCAAAGCAAAGGAAAATATTTTCCAAATTTTCAAAATATCCCGTTCACCCATGGTAGTGAACTGCACGTAGATGGCGCGTAGAGGTAATTTAGACCAAAGGTAGATATATCAATATCAAGATAATAAAGGTGTTCATAACAATGTTGCAGATAAATTGACATGTAGTATACTAATGAAAACTTTGGTAGTAGAGTGTCCCTTAAAATCTTTGTTTTAGATTTTAGGTACAATGCTAGGTCTTTAATATCCTTTTAAAACATACGTTTTTGAAAACCTTCCGTCCGGTTCCGTCACATCTAAATAAAGACGTTCATTAGTTGTCTTCACTACGTCTACACTTAAAAAGTCTTTTCACATCTATTTAAAGACGTCTATTAGACGTGTGAAGAAATGTCTATTGTTATATGGTCTAGGCACATCTTCACGTAGACTCAATTTAGGCGGTTATAATCACAATCGATAGCAGCAAGACGGTAAGATGTCGAAAAGATGTCTATCTCTAGAAATCTACAAGAAAAGATGAGTTAGAGGAAGGTCGATCATCTACAGACGTATATCTTCCGTGTGGGGTGTTGCCCCGTTACGGTCTTTTGTCATGTCCGAGGTCATGTCCAAGGAGCAAAGCAAATCTCTCGTGGCGCAGGCCCCGCCGTAAGCCTTAGTTTACCCAAATATGCCAAGTGACTTACAGGTCACATTATTTGATTATGTTCTTCAGTAAATCGCGTGACTGAAATGGTCCGGCCGCAGGCCTGACCATCTCCGCTGGCAGACTAAGCAGGCCCAGCTGGCCCCTCCGTTTTGCGGAAGGGCGGGCCCGCTCGAGCTGCTTGTTCTAACAGTGATGTTACAATGTAGACTAGACGTGTCTTTGTAAACATCTAAATCAATTATAAATTTAAATCTACGGTACATTCAGAACAGTGCATTTGTACTAGGATAACAGTGATGAGAATACGTTCGGCACATGTAGTAGGTAATGCGTTTATTTTGACATTACTTTGACTTTTTGTTTTTCAGCTATACAACGTCGCCGCTGCGATCCTTTCCATCCTGGGCGCCTACCAGGCGGCGGCCCGCAGTTCTGAGAGAGAGGAGTCTCGTGACTGGGCCGTAATCGTCTACTCAGCAATGGCGTCATTTTCGATTTTGGCGGCTTTTTCTACGGTTGCCTTTCTGCGTGGTATTTTTAAGGTAGTATACCCTTAAATCTTAAGGGTCTTTTAAAAGCACAACTATGTCCAGAATACCAGTCCCTTCAGATTTAGTGTACACGTAAATACGAACTTATGTCTAGTTTTACTGTAAAAGAAATCTGCAGCCTGCAGCATTAACAACAGTTTGCATAGAATGATGCGTCTTTGTGCACATCCCAAATCTCAAGCAGATGCGACTTTGAATCTAACAATGGACTAAAGTTAGCATCCTGTTAAGACACAGTATTTGTTTTCGTCGGTTTTTGTTCATCAGTCTGATGCACATTTGTCGGTGGTCAGTGTCAAATTTGCATCCGGTTGAGATTTGCACAGAAACGCATCATTCTATATGGAAAATAACTGGGTGGGTTTGCCGCAAGTCAGGGAAAACAAGATGTGTGAGCTATATGTCATGAATTACATTTTTCCATTCTTATGGCAACCCTGAATCAAAGTCCTTTCAAATTTAGTGTAATGGAAGAAGACGCTCTCTATAGTTCCGCTCTCGGGCTGACGGCTGTGACGGCCCCACTTGCCCACTCCAAATCTGAACCAATCGAAGGCGGATGTAAAGGGAGCACTGTTACCCAAAGTGCGATAAATTTTATACACTGCTTAAACAAGTGTGCCAAATTTGCACATTAACGTGTGCAAGTTATGAGTTTGCACATACATGATGATTAACTTAAGTTGCGCACTTACGTGCACTGTGAAAATGCTGTAAGGAAATACAGTTTGCCTTTGGGCCATCCTGTAGGTTTATGTAGCCAGACTTAAAGTTATAGACCACTTAACTGTCAAAGTGAAGTGCTAGTTTGACCAAAAATACGGTTTTCAAAGTTACGGTACAACCTGTTTGGAGTGGACCGGAATCCAAAATTACAGTCGCAGACCTGGTTACTAATTGACAGGGCGCCCTATAGATATTTATTGTAGGTTCTTCTATCAGTGTAAGTGTAACACTGTTATTCAACGAATGTGACGTCACATTCGTTTTAATGTGAATCGTGTCACGTTCATTTGAATGTTGTGTCATATTCGTTGAAACGTGAATCGGCCAAGCCTGTCGCCATTAGAGCATCAATTCACCTGATGTCACGTTTAACTGAATGTGACAGAATATTCAAACGAATGTGACACGTGTTCCATTGAAACGAGTGTGACGTCACATTCCTTGAATAACAGTAAATTGTAGCCGTTTTTTAAACGTTTAAATTCTGCACACTTGGACACACACTTCTATGGCTGTCAATTATAACGATGTAGTGTGCACCTGCTAAACTTTCCGGAAATATAATAAGTTTTAACACCCATTGACGTATAACCTAGTTTGACACCACTCCGTGCCTAGAAAATGCACACTCTAACTTAAACATTAACTGACGTGCAAAATTAAACACTTGTTTTACCAGCGTACAATTTAATGCGATAATAGCCGAAAAGCGGTTCCTACATAATATTGCACCTGGGGGAGACTAAAGAAATAAAAAAGAAAATTACATTTGTCATTGCATATTTAGTGCGATGATTTTAACATATTCTTCTGCGATAAATAACCATTGCAACAAAATGCGTGAAAATTATCTCATTCAATTCAATAACAAACTGGTGCACTTTATTTGTAGTCATTACTGCATTCAGAAGAATTACAGTGAGCTCACTGTACCGTCAACCAGCGTCTCGATTTTGTTTACTGTTGAGATTTAAGTATTTAAGTTGTTCTCTTACTTGTTCTCGTGTAACAGAAGCAGCCTGGTCTCTTGGTGTATTACATCAAAAGTCTCGGCGTACACCTGCTACTGACTGCCTTCACTATGGTCTGGGCCTTCTCGGATCCCAGCCCCCGGTTCCCACTACTCATTCATGACTTCTTAAAATTAAGTAAGTTCTTTTTCGTTCGTTTCTATGTGGCCAGTGTCAAGACAATTGATACCTGTTGAGAGCCAATTAATTACTTTCTTTCAAGGCCGTAGATTGTCACGGTAAAAACAATTTTTTTTTTTTTTTTTTTTTTTTTTTTTTTTTTTTTTTTTTTTTTTTTTGAGAAAAATGGGAACCTTGAGAAACTACCATGTTTTAGAAAGAGTCTTCCAATTTAGAGGAATCTTCTGAAAAGATAAGGAAAAATCCCACATGTTTCAGGAGACTTCCTCGAAATCTTCAGGAGCTATCGTCACACCAGGGGAGTTCCAAAAAGTTTTCCCTTTTTCCTCAAAAAATGAGAAATCGTTTTTATCGTGTGTAATCTTAGGAAAGATGATAATACGTTGCTCACTAAAATGGAAGGATACTGCCCGACGGCCGATAAAAACATAGTCTTCGCTTTCGACTAAGCCTTATTTTTGCATGGGGCATTTTAACCCATCTCGCAGACGGAACATAAAACTTTCGAAGCTAAAAATTAGCATTTTGGACTGATTACGAAACGCACGTATTTTTTCAGATTTTTTTTTTTATAATCACCCGCACCTAGCCCATTTGTAAAATGAGACATTCTGGAGAGTCGGGAAGAAGAAGACAACACATAAAAGATGATCGGCAACAAATATTACGAACAGCTCATTTGTCATTATTACTAAATGTGAACTGCAACCTGTTCATTTGTTGTTTAGTTCCCGGCATTTCTGATTTTCTTGCGTTCCTCCCTCCCGACTCGGTAATACGGTATATTCAGCTTTTGAAACAAAATTTGGTCCGGTTCCGTTACATCTAGAGTGCACCCCAAAATGTTTATTATTTAAATTCTGAGCTCCATTTCTTGTTTTAAGGAACAACAAGAACTTAAAATAAGAAATAGGGCTCAATAGGGTGTTCCAGGCAATCTAAAACGGAAGTAGGAAAAGAACAAACTCACTGACCTTTCTGTTTCCGTTATTGCTCTGATTGGTCGAGCTTATCACGTGCCTCCGAGGCTTTTCAGGTATGAGAAACTGTCAGATCAGTTTCGAGCTCCCCTCCATATTTGAGAGGTTAGGATCGGACCAAACTGCCATGGTAATTTCCCATACTGGGCGGACGGAAACAGATAAATCAGTGAGTTTGTTCTTTTTCACTTCCGTTTTAGATAGCCTGGAACACCCTATTTTAACTATGATACTTAAATTGAAAACACATTTTTTGAGTGTAGACTTTCCTCTTGTTCATAAAAATTTTCAAAAGATATATTGATTTTTAATATTTTTGATTTCAGTCTTCTTCTCCTACTTGCTCGTTTGTGCTAACTCACTGTACAAAGAAATGCTGGACCACCACACTTCTGTCACCAATTCGGAGCTGGAGGCCGAATGTCACAGGACTCCTACTGCTCCCTCTGGACCTCCACCACCTTATGGAAAAGCTTGATCCGTGAAGTCTGCAAGTAAAGGGCTCCATTTTAGGGAATAATCCACATACCAAGGAAAAGACGTGCGTTTTGTACCTGGACACTCGAAATGGTTGCTTACCCACCGATCGTAACTACTTAATTTCCCTAGCGAAGACACATTCCATGGAGATGCACAACCTAGTTTCTTCAACGGAAAGGTTTTAAAAACGTCCAGAGATGAAGGTTTCCATCTCGACTAGACGTCTTTGAAACGTTCTCGTTTAGCGAACTAAGTTGTGTCTTCTGTTTCTTGCAAAAAAAAAACAGGGAAGAGGGGAGGGGGGGGGGCGTTATTGTGATAAGGCATGGACAAAAAATCTTCGCGCTTAATGGGGTTAAACACCTTTGTCTCCACTATTTAGAGGTACGTTTTATACCACCTCCATTCCAGGCAGATAACTATATAGCATTGAAGGCGAGTCTTAACATGCTACTTTCCATGTTATACAACATTTTTCTCTGGTGTAACTGCCGAATGAGGTCCCCGTCGACGTTACAATACTGTCTTCTTTAGTGAAAATTTATCCCAACAGCCTTTTATTAATAGTTGTACCGTTGACATGTCCTGCAACAGTTTTGTACTAAAACTTGTTTGTTATGGATCTGAAAATGGTGGTGTTTTTGAGATGTTTATAGATGCCTTGACTTTTGTATCGGCTATTACAATAAATGTTTATTTACGTCTAACTTTCTATTTGTAATGCTCCTTTGCGGCACCTTTAAGGGAGCATCCTAGTGTAACGAGCCTAAAATAGGGGTGATTTGCGTAATTAATTTTAGAGAACCCATAGTTTTTAGATCAAAACCAAGTATACCGTTTTGTAGCGCATACTTATGACTTAAAAACGCAATGTGTATGGTGTCGATACGCATACTCAAAACTGAGATATTCCCTGTTGAAAACGGCACTGAAGCGTTGTCGTCTTGTCATGGTGTACATATTCATAGTCGAGCCGTTGGTCTCACACAGTCCAACAAAATATTTTTAGACTAACGTAGGTATGGCATGAACTAGGATATCGGCCACCTCCTTCATCCCCTCAAAAAATCAAAACTATGGGAATTTAAGGTATTTTTTTTTCGATCTGTCAAATTTAAGCTGCTTGAAGAAATATTAAAAATTATCCGATCGCTAATATCCTAGTTCATGCCATACCTATGTTCATACAGAGTCTAAATTTTTCTTGTTGGACTGTATGAGACCAACGGCTCGACTATGAATAGGTATGCCATGACAAGACAACGCTGCAGTGCCATTTTCAACAGGGAATATCTCAGCTTTGGGTAGGCGTATCGACGTCATACACATTGCGTTTTAAAGTCAAAAGTATGCGCTACAAAACGGTATACTTGGTTTTGTTCTTAAAACTATGGGTTCTCTAAAATTATTTACGCAAATCACCCCTATTTTAGGCTCGTTACACTAGGATGCCCCCTTAATAGGGACGGACCTAAACGCATCCAATGACATACAAAATTGTTTCGTTAGAGAGGACAATTTTCAACTTTGTTCTCTCCTCATAGACCAGGGGTCTCAGACTGGGCGATCTGCGCGGGCCGCACCGAGCTGAGTGAGAGAGATAGATGCACTGTAGGAGAGGAGGCGGGCTGGACGTCCACCTACCGCCTGCCGAACGCCAGCCGCGAGCGAGCGGAGCGAGCATCTGAGTGAGATGCTCTAACTGCGGTACACCTCCATCTCACGTCCACCTGCCGTTTTCGGACGCATGCTTGCACCGACTGGCCCGCGTGCCGTGTGTCTGAGACCCCTGTCACAGACAAATGTATTTCCTGTTTTGTTAACGAGGCATTTGTAATAGCGAGTGGGCATTTTAAGTTGTTGCTTGTGAGCATCAAAAGAAGGAACAATTTTTCTAAGGAACATTTTGTTTGTGTGCGGCCATGAACTAACACTTTGTTGCTAGTTCAGGGTGGCCACGCAACCGGGAAGTCAGGGAAAAAAATATTGGTCAGGGAAAAGTCAGGGAAATTGAATGTTGGTCAGGGAAAATGACTAAATCTTGCCTCAAATTGTTTTCAAACTTTCGGTGTCATTTTCAATTTATCGGGAAGCAAAACGTTCCACTTAAAATACATTAAAAAGTCAGGGAATTTGCGTAAAAAGTCAGGGAAAAGTCAGGGAATTTGAAAACTCCAATTGCGTGGCCACCCTGTAGTTTTAGCGACAAAAAACGTTAACAATTCTTGTAAACTGTGAAACAAACTCACCGCACGGAAAAAAAAAATAGGTGTCAGCCAATAAGTTGGCTGATTTGGTGACAGCCAAGAGATTAGCTGTGGTAACTAATTCGATTTGTCACGGCAACGAATCTTGGGTAGGGCACGAGAGGCGACAGAGATTGTCTAGAACAACTAACGTCCATGAGTGTATGTACCCAGACCCAGTCCCAGGTGCGCTACCGTAGGGAATTGCGAAAGGGCGGGACATTCAGATTGTTTGGTACAGTGTACAATGTAAAGTGTCTCTGGTTCATTATTCTTTGGGGGTTGCATGCAGAAAGTAGTCTGCCTTTGCAGGTGGAACTGCAGTCAATATTTAATTAAAAATAAGGTTTCTGAATTGTCTTATATTGTAGATTTATTTTTCTGCCCATGAGGGAAAATTCAACAATGAGAACTATGTAGAAAAACTTTGTGACGAGCACAAAAATACAAGTCTTTCAAAGTAAGTGGACATCACAGTAACAATTACATCAAATAATAAGTCAGATCATTCAAGCTTTAATATAAAAGCAAAGCTTTAAATGCAGATATATTCACATAACACCAAATTGGAAATGTATATACACGCATATAAAAATACATAAAGAATAGAGTCAAGATACAGTATAAAAGAGGTAGGAGTAGTAACTTACATTAGCGAGGATTTTACAATTGAAAAAGTGAAAGTAAAATAGTTTAAAAAAAATTAAGTTTAGGAAAATGTACCGGTTATTGAAGACATATTGCCTAGCTCACTGTAAATAACTCGCTACACTTGCAGCTAGCAGCTTACGCATGTGGCTAGACAATTATCCATTAGTTGAGTATGAGCTCAAAATTACGTTGCCTTTCAGGACTTGTGGATTTAAGATTGTGACAGCTCCTGCAAATGTGGACAAAAAGCAGGTTTAGTTTTCTTGCTGAATTGTAATGAAATGAAACAGGAATCATACGAATTCAGATGGGTACATCTAACTCACATTCTGGACATAATGAAATGTCTCTATCTCTGGATGTTCAATCCGTGGCCTTTAGGACGAGCTAGGTCCAGGTGCACTTTCAGCTACTGGCAGGGGCGCGGTCTATTTCAGAACAAGAAAACATTAATTTAGTTTTAAATAAAACACTAGCAAAACAAGAACAAAGAAACGGTTGATTAGAACAATAACGCCCGCGAACGTGGGAGGTGACAGCACAAGAGTTGTGTATCATACATAACCTATAACCTCCCACTTAAATATTCGAAGACTTAAGTTCGAAAACATGGCAGTGCTAACGAGTGCTGACAATGCAAAAGACCGAAGACAAGCAGTTCAAATGTATGTTCACATGCCTGTGCACACTTGCAACGATCAAATTGAAAATTATTCTTACTTGCCTGTACCACAGCCGGTTCGTTGTCTACATGGGGGTGCTGCACCTCCACCTTTAAGTTCGCCAAACGTCGTTCGAAGACGGATCTGATCAAGGCCACAAAGCAGGGGATGTTTGGAGATAGTCTTCCTTAAAAAGCTGCATCACATTCGTCAAAGTGACTTCTTCTCCTGCAAAAACAAAGTGTTACTGATAGCACCGACTGGGAAGGCGAATGAAAACGATGAGCTTGGCACAATCTTAATGAATGGGATTCCTAACCCCACAACCGCGAACACACTCAAGCCGTAGACATAACGAAGTGAATTTGTTTGCTCTCGATCGAATACTTGTGCAATTCGGAGAAGTAAAGCTCACACGTCCTTGAATGCAAGTTACCTAACCTCAAAGGGTGAACAGTATATGATTCACCGAAAACAAGATTATTTCCCATCACATTCGTCATTGAAGACGAATGTAACAGTTTAAAAGCAAGCGAGAGAAATTAATAAGACAAGTAAACAAAATACTTACTCTTGAATGCCTGGGATGACAGTGTTCGATATTTCCCAATCCGCAAGAATCGTCATCATGTCCAAGCCCAAGTCCCGCTTCGGAGTGGACATCGTCACGGCGCGGTTGTGCAGGTCGAGGGTCTTTTCGGCTTTGGAAGACACACTTGAAATGGCAACGGCGACAGCAGGGCTCTGCCCGGTGCAACTCGAAAGTAGCCCTACGGCGCGTATTTCGGGTACGTGCGGTAGCGAACACCCGAATGACTTCGGGAAGTGACGGGACTGCCCGTAGCCGTCAAAACGCCAGCAGCAGAAACATTTTCGGATTTTCGCTCCAACACGCAACTGAATTAGTCACGGTAGCATCCAGCGCGACGTGTCATAACCAAATTCGGTTAGTATTTACAGCGAACTGATTAGAGCAGGGCAGCAAACAGGGGGTTGTGTGTGGTAAACAAGATTTCTTGCGCTGCAGTCTAGGGATTAGCCGTCACACCCAATGTCTTGGCTGTCACGACACGAATCCAGCCAATTAATTAGTTGCCACAACGAATTCTTGTCTGTGGTAACCAACCCATTTTTGTTCCGTGCGTTACACGGTAAAACCGTGCCCTGGCCCAGATGGAACTCTCTGGACAAGGTCTGGAGGCGAGACCATCCAGGTACCGTCCAATTCGTCTCAAATTGGATGGATTTGGGAGACCCTGAATCGGTCCGATGTACATCCATTAGGTATCCACGTTGTCCTCAACACACTCCAGTCGCTATCCAAGACATCCACACGCCATCCATAGATCTCCAGCAGAGGTCCGAATCGCGTCCAGCATTTTGTCGATGGCATCCAGAGCACGTCCTGGAATCCATAGTATATCCACGGTATCCAAAATGAATCCTCATTATCCAGAGACCATCCACAATATCTGTCCCACATCCAGATAATGATGCATTTCGGTTACATCCACGATCATCCTATGCTGTCCACAATGCAGCCTCTAAATCCCTCTCCTACAGTTGTCCTACTAATGTCCCCCTGAAGTGATGATACGCGATAATTTTTTTTGTGCTTCACTTTACGCCGTTGACTGGGTTCGAACCCGCGACTTTCAGTACCGAAGTCCAATGCGCTGACCCCTACGCCATGAATGTGATGCCAACTACATTTACAAACAATGCGAATATCCAGGAGTTGTCCGGTAGCTGGGACGCGTCCGTCATATCCATGACGCGTCCAGACGTTTAGTTAGCATCCAGGACGCATCCGCAGGTACCTCACGTATCCAGTAATCAACCGGCATGGGTCCGTGGCATCTACAGTGCATCCGCAGCATCCAGCGTGCATCCACCACGCATCTACAGCATCCACCGTGTATCCACAATGTAACCACGGCATTTAACAGTGTATCTTTAGTCTATCCACGGCAACCACAGTGTGTCCAGAGTGTATCCACAGTATATCCACGGCATCCACAGTGTGTCCACGGCATCCACAGTGTATCCACAGTGTATCCACAGTGTGTCCACGGCATCCACAGTGTATCCACAGTGTATCCACGGCATCCACAGTATACCCACAGCATATCCATGGCATCCACAGTGTGTCCACGGCATCCACGGCATCCTCTGTGCATCCCCGAAATCCACCGTGCACCCATAGCATGTACCGTGTATCTAGGCGAGATATCATCTATTTAATCACAGTAAAGCTAGTTAGCAAAGGGTGCATCAGATCCCTATCAACCTTTTCCTCGTTTGAAAGGTCTTTTTTAAACAAAGACAGTCATGATGTGAAAACGGCAAAAATGCACGCTGGTTTGAAGAAATCAGCGGAAAACGTAAGATGCGTTAGTTCGAAAGAACTTGTCAAAAGTAATTTCATACTGTGATCAAATCGATAGAATCTTGCCTAGATACACAGTAAATGCCGCGGATGCACGGTAAACAAAAAACTCTGATTCCGAGGCGTCAAAAAATGGGTGATTTCGATTTTAGAACCCGAAACACGCATTTAAAGTCAGAGAATCGGTTTCGAGCCATCCCCAGCCTCATTTCGAGTCGCGTCTGCCTGTTTCGGGATCGGCGCTTCGAAACTGGCGCGCTCTGCTCCGATTCCGGTGGGCCATATCATAATCGGGCCGGGCCGTCCTGAAACGGGGAGGAGCGTCTCGGTTTTGGAAGTCGCTTCCTCTCTTTTCGGAACGGGAGTATTCTTTTTCATTCCAGGCCCATCCTGGCTGCTTCTTCGCACGGGTGCGTGCTCTAAATGTTATCTGCTATTTTAACCTAAACTCTGTATCCTAAGAAGAAGAAAAAAATCGTTACATGAGTTCGCAGCCATCTTACAAGGCAGTCCCTTGTTTCTTTCCCGCTCGTTCGCGTCGGTAATTTTACTTCGTACGCCATCTTTCGTCGATCTACGGTCGCTCACACGGTTAGTGAGACTTTTCTTTTCGTTCAACGCAATATTTTACTTTGGTTTGCTTGTCGCTGTATCTGTCCTTATTTCGAGTGTTGATGCGCTTGTATTCTGAACTGTTCCTGTCCCATGTGTTAATTTCTTTTTTGTTTGTTGGTTACAGGTGTCTCAGAGGGGCGTTTAGCCTATGTGATGTTGTTGCAGCGCATGCATTCAACTGCAATTGAATAAAACTTGGAGTATTCAAGGATTTTGGATTTTAGGTAAGATGCCTCCCCCGGCTAAACGGCTCCGGTCGTCTGGCCCAGCCCCTCAACCTCAGTTACGTGAGCAGGCATGTAGCTCGGGTGACGAAAATGAGAATGAGGTAGACAATTTTGAAAGTGACTTTAGTGACAACGAAACGGAAGTTTCTTATCAGCCGGCTTCAAGATCTTCAAGTGCTCTAGATGCTCCCTGTTCGAGCCAAACTTCATCTTCAACACTTGCCTCACAATCATCATCATCCTTGAATGTCAACGATGTAGTTGGGAATTTTGTGTTAAGTTTAAATGAAAAGTGTTTTGTTTCTGAGAGTGAAAGACAGGAACTTCTTGATGACGCTAAACTACTTGTTAAAGAATGTATCAAGAAATTCACCGAAAAAGTTGATGGAGCTCTCCAATCCGCAGGAAGTAAAGTGAGAATGGATCAAATTGTCAATGTGGAAAAAACTGCTTCATCAACTTGCTACGATGCGTTTCGAAATCTGGAAACAAAATCTCAACAAAAAAAATTCTTTCAAGAAACTCTTGGGGTGACCGATGTAAAGAGGATTCCTCTGGGAAAAATACTAATTAGAGGCCGTAAAGGTGGAGTAACGAAGACCAAAGTAATTGACCAGGAATTTATATATGTGCCTCTCGAAGAGACAGTTGAGAAAATGATCAACCACCCTGACTACAAAATGTTTGTTGAGAATGCACCAAGTGGCACTTGTAACTCCAGTTATCTGGACTGTTACATGAAAGGAAATCTCTCAAAGGAAAACAAAATATTGAGGGATCATCCTGATGCCCTCAGGTTTATTTTATATTATGACGATGTTGAGGTTTTATCACCGTTGAAGAGCAGGTCTGGGAAGCAAAAGGTCGGAGCTTTCTATTTATTTCTTGATAATATACCATTAAAGTATAGGTCTTGTTTGAAAGTGATATGTTTGCTTGGCCTGGTAAATGCCAACCTGATAAAAGGGAAGTCTTACGGGATGGATGCTGCCCTTTAAGTGATTGGTGATGTTTTGAAAAAAATTGAAAAAGGTGTACAGCTTAAGAGTGGTCAGAAAGTGTATGGCACGTTAATTGCTGTTATTGGTGATAACTTGGGGCAGCATGGCATTGGTGGGTTTAAAGAGGGGTTCACAGCACATAGGTGCTGTAGGATATGCATGGCAAGATTTGATGAAGAAATTAAGAAAATGACCAAAGAAGATAAAAATTTACTTAGAACCAGAGAAGAGTATCAGAATCAAATTAGAAAGATTCAAACAGCAAGAGGAAAAAATGAAAAGGCAAGCACAGAGTATGGTTTGAACAGAGAGCCATGCTTAAACCAACTTCAGTCTTTCCATGTTTTATCAAATTTACCTTTTGACGCAATGCATTGTTTACTGGAGGGGGCTCTAAGTCTGGCAGTGAAAAAAATGCTCAAATACTATCTGTATGACATCAAAGGGGAGAAACCTTTTACTTTGGAATGGCTTAATCAAACAATTGCTAATTATGATTTGGATTACTCTGAAGGAGGGGACAGACCATCTGAACTCAAGGAAGACTACATAAAAGATGACTCCACTGCTCTCCATCAGTCAGCTTGTCAACTGTGGCTACTTGCAACAGTGCTGCCACTTATTGTGAGTCCCCTAATTGATACTGAAAATGACCACTGGAAGAACTATCTTGATATGCTAGAAATTTGTCGCATTGTGTTTACTGTTGAAATTCCCTTGTGGTTGGTGACCTATCTTCGAGACTTAATTGACCAGTATCTTTCAGATTTTATTTCACTTCATGGCCCTCGTCTCATTCCAAAGCAACATTTTATGATTCATTTTCCCAGCCAGATTTTACAATTTGGAAGTCTAATGAACTATATGTGCCTGAGATGTGAGGCCAATCACAAGTACTACAAAAGATTAATTTCTGTATTGACAGCCTACAGAAATATTCCTCTATTCCTGGCTCGTCGTGATCAACTTCATCAGGCTTATCTGTGGAAGAAGTCACTCCGGCATGAATCCAAATGTGGACCTCTCAAGTCAATCAAGCTGAAGTTTTCATACTATGGGAAGCTGATTCAAGCACCCGCTGATGAAGTTACAGAATCCCCTTGGTTGGATCTGAATGGTGTGACATTTAAAAGTGAACACTGCTATATTGTTGTTGGACTGCAAGATTACTTGCCTGTTTTTGCTCTTGTGAAAAACATTATAGTACAACCTGAGGTTGCATTTGTGTGTCAAGATGTGACAACAGTGTGCCGTGATGTTCATGCTAGTTGCTTTATTGTTTCTTTAACCAACAAGATATCGGTTCATAAACCTCAGGATATGCTTGTGCACTCAGTTTTTCATGCCCACAAGTTTAGAAACACTTTTGCGATTGTGTCAAAATCCTGTATCGGAGGGCAGCCATAATATGTCAATATGTTTTTTGTCATTTTAATTTTTAAGCTTAGTGTTTACCTAATGATTGTTAGAAATTGTGACAACCAGCTTAGTTAAGACTTTGTCATTAGTTCTCTAAAAAATACCTTCCCAAAATATTTTCTTGCTACTTTTTTTTTAGTTGATACTTTCATTGTGATTAATTTTACCCTGTTGTACTGACAAGCATTCAAATAGGATCCTAAAATAGTTTATTAAACTTATTATAAGTGTAAAGACTACTAAGATACAAATTTGTATATATTTCTTAATTTTGTTGTGTGCAACAGATGTTATTGGACTGACTCATTGAAATCATGAAGGATCCTAGAAACATAGAGCGAGGGGCGTGCAAAAAAGAAGATTGTGATTGCACAGCTTATTCGTTGGATGAAAAGGCGACGAGTGCTGCATGCAGCTACTGTCAATGTCCACCCACGGCTCATGTTGCAGGTGAGCAGTCCTTGTAAACAATTAACTTTTTTTAAAATGTGATTTGAATTTTTTGGTGAAGGGTTGTAGGAGATTATATCTATACCTCAGTGTTGGTTATTATATGTACTTGTGACACATGTTTGTTTTCTTTTTTTTAGAAAAAGGTCAGATTATTACATCTACTCCCACGACTTCAAATGATATTCTAACTACACCAAACTCATCGCTTACAGAGGCATCAAAGACCATCAACTCTTCCACTTCTGTAAGGTTTTTTGCAGAACTTAACTCTTCTAACTAATTTTGTTGTGTACGGTATGAGGAAGTAACTGATAAAATCTTTTTGACCTTGTTTACATTCAGGCTTCTGAGGCTTCTGATATTGTCACATTATCAGTGCATAATGTGTCTGATCCATTCTTACAGTCTCTTCTGGTACAACAGTCTAGTGACGAGGTTGGTTTTATAACAATATACAAATAATTTATTATTGATTTTTGTGAAAACTTAACAATTTTATGTGTCTACATTTATAGCCAAACACGGATGAGATATTCCTTCCAGTTAAACTTCCTCGCAAGTGTGAAACTGCTTTGGCAAATAGGGATGTGGATCACAGAGTAAAGTCTTCTATTGTCAGAGAGGTTGTGAGCAATCTGATGGGACACGACCAGACCTCCACCAAATGCTTACAGAAAGCGGCCAAAAAGATGGTTAACAAATGGTCACCACTTAAAGATCATAATGACCCTGACAATGTAAGTTTATGTGATGTACTTTACCTGTCCATTAATTAAATTACATGTCTGCTGCACTAGAAAAACAAAAGTGCTTAGTCCTAACTTTAAAAGACTGAGAATTTCTTGACCCTCCCCTGGAAAGGCATGACTTAGCACCTTTGTTTTTCAGTGTGTTTTTTTGGCCATAATAATTTATTGCTAACTTTTGCAGAATGGGCTGTTGACTATGTTGAGAAAAAGGAGGGACAGGTGTAATAAAACTGACAATGTGAGTGCATCAACCTCTTCCAGAGGCAATATCCATCAATTGACTGCTCTTGAAGCAAAAAAAGAAATGTTTGACAAGTGGAGTGCAAATCTCAGAACTGCAGCTGCTCATAAACATTTGATGGAGGTAGCAAGACCACTCCGCAAAGTAGAGGCGAAGAAACTTCCTGGTCTTCAGCTATTGAAATCTTTTCCAGCTCTGGGTATTAATGAAGTTGTACGTACTAGAGCTATCTATTTCTCCACCACCCCCCCCCCCCCCCCCTCCCCTCTTCCTATTTATATCAAACATTTAAATTTCAATCCTTATTTCAATCTCCACTAAACTATCTAAATACTGAGCTACATACCTTGTACTTCAAATGTTTCTCTTATTCAAGACTAATAGAAATGAATTTTTGCATTTACAGCTGCTACAAGAACTGTTAGCAGAATTAGAGACAACAGAAGACGAGGCTAGAGACAAATGGAGACGTACCATGGAACCTCTAAAAAAGTACCACCAAACTGAAAAGAAATTCCCTTTTGTAGAGGGAACTTTGGGTAAGTTCGTAATACTGGCCACACCATGGCACCTTTCACCTATTGTTTCAGCACTAACCACCTCTTTTTTCTTTTGACAGATGAGGAAACTTTGTGGATACTAGAGAGTATTCACCTCTACAATATTTGGTTTAAGGAGGTGAATCGACAAAACACTGATGATTTGACAAAGGAACGTAAGTCCACTTTTTAAAATTGTGCAGTAGGGCCAAAATTGAGTCATTTTTCTATCTATCTCTGACATTAATTGCTTTAGTTCAAATTTTCTTTCACAGAATATCTTGTTAATATCTTATTTACCCACTCCAACTTTGTTCGGTTTCCTAACTCAAATGAGTATGGAGTTAGTGTGACTTACGTCTATTGTCCACCTCCTCTTGGGTTGACAGAGAGACGTAAGTCCTAGACTGCTTTCACAAAGGAACGTAAGTCCATAATATAATTTGGACAGAGAAACGTAAGTCCATTGCTACTTTCACAAAGGAACGTAAGTCCATGATACAAACTGGACAGAGAAACGTAACTCCAGAAAGGTTTCACAAAGGAACGTAAGTCCAAGACTAAAATGGGACAGAACAACGTAAGTCCATTTCCAAT